CCTCTGCCTCCTAAGTGCTGGGATTAAAAGTGTGCACCACTATGCCTTTATTTTTTAATATTTGTTTGTTTGAGACAGAGGCTCTCTACATAGCCCTGGCTGTCCTGGAACTCACTATATTGATCAGGCTGGCCTAGAACTCACAGAGATCCACCCGCCTCTGCCTCCTGAGTACTAGAATTAAAGACATGTGCCACCAAAATGTAAGTGGTTTTGCCTTCATGTACCAGGTGTACCAGGTGCATAACTGTTACCCACAGAAGCCAGAGAGGACATTAGATCTGGAACTGGAGTTATAGGTGGTCATGAGTTACCACGTGGGTCCTGGGAACTGAACCTGGGTCCTCTGGGAGAACATCAAGTGCTCTTAACCACAGAGCCATCTCTTTAACTCAGTGATATTTCTTTAAGTCTGACTTCTTTTGCTTAATATGATGGTCTCTGGTTGCATACATTTCTCTGTGGTTAGAATAATTTCATTCTTCATTAAGGCTGCATTAAACCATTGTAGAGAGTCTCACATCAGTGACCTAGAGGGGACCCTGGTGTCCCTTCAACATTAGGCTCCTGAGGTTGTCAGTCCCTGAGTGCTTTATAAGTGGCCTTGGCTGATGTCTTCTGTCTGTTAACTGATCCCCCTGGAAGGGTTCTCATAAATCCTGCTTAGAAACCGATTCTCAGCAGCATGGCTATCTTGACAAGCTGACCTTCTTTGTGCTCACATTCCTACCCTGCTCCTGGAACCTACACTGATATCCCAGTAGACTGGGCTAATAAACCGCTTAAAGCAAAATTTAGTTATAGGCTGGGTAAGGTGGTGCATGCCTATAATCCCAGCACACAGGAGATGGAGGCAGGAGGGTCAGGAATTTAAGGCTAGCCTTGGCTACTTGCTATCTAGAAGCCAACCTAGATTACATAAGACCCTATCTTACAAAACCCCAAAACAGTTTTGTTACTGTCACTGTGACTACCTAGGAATTGTATGGGATCATTCCATCTCCTGTCTGTCACAAGGGACTACCCGTTTCTTTAATCATATCCTGGTCTAATCCATAGCTCCTCATTCTTCTAGAAGTTGCCCAGGGTTTCATTATACATAAACACACACAGTGCTCACACAGAACTTCTGTTCCCTGAGGCTGCCTGGGGATGGTGCCAAAATGTTACTATTGGTGCGAGGTAGATGTGCAAACAGACTCAGAGAGGTTAGTTGCTCAGCCCAGCCACACAGCTAGCCAATGGGAACTAAAGTCCTTTCTACCTGACACTAAGTGCTGGTGTTCCTAACTACTTTCATTTTAGTGTCACATCAACATTTAAGCCAGATAAAATGTCCTGTCTTCACCTAGATTTTGTCTTCATTTGTTCAGATTTTCTGTGAATTAGATGCAAGCAAATCAGAAGTATCTGTGAGCCCAAATCTGTGCTGGGTTATTTTTCCCTCCCCAGCTGGTGTTATGGGTATGGCTTCTGGTTTTGATTTTCTGGATTTTTTCTTCTTTATTTCTTTTCTTTTCTTTCTTTTGAGATAGTCTTGCTGGCTAGCCAAGGCTGACCTCAAACTCCCGATGTAACCTAGGCTAGCCCGAAGCTTGTGATTTTTCTGGCTTCTGCCACCATACCAAGCATCATAGTCTCCAACCTTTTTCAGCCTTTGTATTCAGTTTAGGAGTAATATATTGACAAATAGATACACAGGTCTTAAGTGTACAACTTGACAAACATTTACACACACATACACACACACATATCTATACCTCTAGGCACACCACACAAGAATATAACATCATCACCTAACACCTTAGGGATACCCTCATGGAAAATCCTACTTATTGCCTATCTCTTTTCTTCTCTGTATCCAGTATTCTGTCTAAAACCAGCATGTGTTACCAGCCTGATCTTGAACTGGGATAAATTTATACAGCATATTCTCTTTTGTATTCATCTCTTTAATCTGTGACTCATCCATGCTACTTCATGTAGCAAAAGTTCAGTCTTTTTTATTTCTGTAGAGTATTTCATGATGTGAGCATGCCATAATTCATTTCCTTATTCTGCTCTTGAATGTCATCTGAGTTTTCAATTTTGGGGTGCCTTCATAAAAGTTCCTGTGAAAGTCACATGACTTGTCATCTTTTGGTGGATATATTTATTTCTCTTAGGCTGGTCTACATATATCTATTTTTATTTCTTGAGTATTTACTTGGATATAAGACCTTGGCCTTATGCAGACACTGGGAATTCCTAGCACTGACATGGTAATTGCTACAAGGAAACAAATGAGTTCCAAACCATGTTAAGAAAAATAATTTGCACTATAGCATAGCAATAGGTCTTCATAGATTACAGTGTGGATAAATGTCCCTACTTGCAAAGGTCATGTTATAGTCAAGATTCTTCTATTTCATAGGCAATTAGCAACTTGACCCTAAATTTTGTCAAAAAGGGAATGCAATGACACAGACATGTAGCATTCATCTGCCTTGAGGTGTGGCTGGATCAGTGGCTGCAGGCATATCACCAGCACTCTTCTTTCTATATATCTCTTGGCCCTGCTCTTTCCCTGTGGGCAGCACTTTTAGGCAAACCTTCCCATTGGTGACTAGTGGAAGCTTCAGGCTTGTACCGTCCCTCGGGTCAGTCATTCAGGGTTCGGAGGGGGGCTGCCTGAAAGAGTCATGGGTGAGAGAAGGAAGGAGACCAAGCGGCGCAAAAGAGGGGACCAGAGTCCGTCTATGCAATGTCAAGGTCTCAATTTATTGGGGTTCAGACTGGGCTTATATAGCCCTTCACCAAGGAAATTGGGTAAGCGGGGAGATAACAGGAAGGAACATCTGGTGTAGGCTGGGGCTGGAGCATTCTTCTTATCAGCCAGAATATCTTGTGATCCTCCCCAGAACAGCGAACAGGAAAGCCCCAGGCCCTTTCTCAGAACTGAAGCAATTAGCAGTTCCGTGTGGCCAAACCATCTAATTACAGGTTACAGAAGGCTCACAGAGCTGGCTTTAAGCTGCAAACTTAAAGGTCATTAAAAGGCTTACAAAAGTGGGCTTTAAGCCGCATAGTTTTGGGTCCACGGCCCCTTACACAGGCTTAAGCTGTCTGGCTACAATTCCAGCAAAACAAAGCTCTTAGGGTTAACTCTCCAGTTCTGCTTGGGTGATATGTCCTCCCCTGGTCACCACATCCAGCCCATAGGGGCTTGGCATAAGGAGGGGTGCTACCAAGATGTGTTTCCATAGCAGAGAGCAATGGATGGCAGGAGGGAAGAAAGGGGAGGAAAGTTGACTCCCCTGGTACTGATCTCCCAGGAATCAAGACAGCCTACAAACGTTCCGAAGGCACAGCTGAGAGGAGAGAGTTAATATTTTCTAAAGCTTTGGTTACTCAAAGCCTAACCCATGTCATTTACACAGAGATAAACTTGCCTAAATTGGCCAAGCTTTGAAAATCTTCTACTTCCTTCTTGAAGGCGTCCACATTTACCAAGTCGTTGAGGCGTGAAACAGCAGAGGTGTGTTTGTGTTTTACTTTCCTTACTTTCCCCCTACCGGCTTAGCAACAGACCCAGCTGATTCTCCTTGGGAACTTTCTTCTCTGTGTATCATTTTCTTCTCAACCCCCACTAACACCACACCAGTAGCTCCAGGCTGAGCTTTTTACCTCATTGGAAGAACACCATCTCCTCAGCTAGTCTAGAGCCCATCCATTACTGAGCCAAACCCTGTGGGCAAAGAAATGGTGGAAGTTGATTGGTCAGGCTGGGGTCACGTGATCACGGGGCATTGGTTGGACAGTGGGAGTTTTCTGTACCACCTGCGCCTAGTGGGAGCTAGGAGGATTTCAAGGGGGGTAATCAAGGCACTGATGCCAGAGAAGGGACATCTAGAGAAAACCTTATTACTTGATTAGACAGTGCTCCCCATCTGAAGAGCTCATGAAACTGATAAAATCACGTTTTCAAACCAGAAGGGATCTTACCTACCTGATGTCCTTGCCCAAGCCTTCTGTCTCAGTTCCATAAACTATTCTTTCTTTGTGCACGCAAGCTGATTTATGCTCCATTAACCCTAGAAACACAAGAGCAATCAAAATCTTCAAGGTTAGAGGCAGTGGCGCACACCAGGCTTTGGGAGGCTGAGACTGGAGGATTGTGAGTTCTAGACCAGCCTGGGCTACTCGGTGAGACCTTGTTTCAAACGAACAGCTCGAAGATGTTTGGGTTCCGAGGGCTGGGGTGAAGCTCAACTGGTAGAGTGCTTGTCTAGTGTGCAGGAAGCCTAGCATGGCTTAAACCAGGCATGGTGGCACAAGTCTGAAATCCTTGAACTTGGGTTCAAGCTCAAGGTCATCCTCTGCTACATAGTGAGCTCAAGGCCAGCCTGGGCTACACGAGATTCTGTCTCAAAACACTTATTTTGTTCTTTCTCATCTTTGGTTCATGATCCCCAAGTCATAAAGACATATTATCAAAGATATAACTGTGTTTGTAGGCATCAGTATTTTGAGAAAAGTCACAGGTTTACTCTTTCCTCTGTAGTAGTCTGAGCTCCTGTGCTTTGCTCGGGGGAGTTGCCCACAACTCAGCTCCCCATATGTTGTGCTATTGTTCCTACAGAGACAGTCATTCTCATGACCCCAAAGCACCATTTGACAGCTCCTTTCCAGCGCACAGAAAGTAGAAAGCTGAAAAACAAGAATGACTTCAGTCCTTTAACAGTGTGACCTGGAAGCTGTAGACAATGCTTCTGCTGGCCTGCCATTGAGCACATTCATAGCCTTATCATAGGTGTGGGGAGGCTACAAAAGGCAGTCACTGTTTTTGGCACCTCAACACCCAGTTATCAGCTACTGGAAGAAACCCAGCAATTTATACAAGGGAGAAAGAAAAGTATCTGACCTTTCCCTTCTTTTTGATTTTTCAGGTTAATAAAAAGGTCTCAGTTGCTACAGAGACAGCAATGCTTTAACACGACCGGTGAAGACTCACTGACATCATGTCTGCCTTTCACAGGAATAGCAGCTATGATGGGCATGGGGACTACCCTGGCTATTCAGGGTCTCAAAATCATACACGGAGCCATTTGAAAACTCAGGATCATCTAGAACTTCCAGGTTCTCTGGACAATTCAGGCTTCCACCATCTCAGGAGCAACCCATATTCTTCGGGCTCTAGAACAAATCCAGACTACCCCAGCTCTGTAGCAGAAGCAGATTACCCCGGATCTCTGAGTAACACAGGCTATCGCAGCCCGAGGAGTCCTTCATTCTCTGCACATTCCAGAACAAGGCCAGACTATCACGAATCTTTACCTGAGCCAGACTATAATGACTTCCAGAGCGATCCCTACTGCTCAGAATCATCCCCAGAGCCTGACTACCCCGGCTTTCAGCGCCATTCTGGTTTTGCAGGAATCAGAAGGAGCACAAACTATGAAGGTTCCAGAACCAATGTAGGTTATTTGGGATCCTTGAAAGAACCAGACTACCCTGGAGCTCGGGGCAGCTCTGATAATCCTGGTCCCAGGGCCAGTTCCAAACTGCCAGGCTCCAGAAGAGATGTCGGTTACACTGGTTCCAGAATCGGTTCCTACCCAGACAACTTGGGGGAACCTGATTACCCAGGTGCTGATAGTCAGCCAAACTCGCCCCACTTTTATGGAGAACCGGACTATCCTGGTGCTGAGGGCTCAAAGAATGCTCCAGGTTTTTGGGGAGAACCTGATTATCCAGATGCCGAGGAAGGTCATAGTTATGGCTCTTCCAAACTGGGACCCCTCAGGAGGTAAGTTCAAGTCTATCTCCCTCACTGTGGTACTCATCAAGCAAGTAGGAGTTGGTCCAGTTGTTTCAGTTAGCCGCATGTATTGATTACCTTTGTATCTAAAATGCCCAGTGCAAATCAACAATACCCACAGAGTTCAAGCCCATGGTGTCTTGGTCCTTGGTTCTTGGGCAGAACATCATGGCCACAGGAATATGTGGCAGAGGAGAGATGTTTACATTCTGATGAGTGGGTAGCAAAGAGAATGAAACCGGTGGATGGTTGGAAGTGCAGGGACAAGATTCATCCCCCAAGGACTTACCCTCAGTGAGCCACTTCCTCCAGTTAGATCTCATCTCCCAAAGTTTCCAGAAACCCCCAAAAAGTACCACCAGCTGAGGATCAAGCATTCAGCTCTCCAGTCAACATGGATAAAGGATTTTAGCTTCTACCATTTTTGGTCACTGTTATCTGGTTATCTGGGTGTCATAGCTGAGCCAAATCTAACTTTCCCGGGCTAACATTTTCCAAAGGTCATGTCAACAACAACACTAATTTTTTTTGGTTAGTTTTTTTGTTTATTGTTGTTAACCCATACATTTTGCCACATGGAATTTTAACTGATGTCTTACTTTATATGTACCATTTCAATTATAATATTTATAAATTTGAGTTTTTAAAAAATGACTCTTTAGAAGTGGTGATACATTACCATAATATAAGCACTTAGGAGGCTGAGGCAGGGGGATTGTGATAATAAGGTCAAACTGGATTATATAGTGAGACCCTTTCTTAAAACAAGGAAGGAGGGAAAGAAAGAAGGAAGTTTCTGATTCAGTTGTCTAGGATGAGGGTGTGTGAGGGTGTGTGTGTGTGTGTGTGTGTGTGTGTGTGTGTGTGTGTTTTCTGGGGTGGGGGCAGTAAGCTCCAGGGGTCCACCCTTCTTGGTACTCCAATACTGGGGTCATAATTCCCAGCTTTTCTGTGGATGCTGGAGATTCAAACTCGGTTCTCATGCTCGCTGAGCATCTCCTCAGCCCTGTGTGAGTTGATTTTTACAGCTTTCTTTCCTACACCCAGTGCTCTCTGCCTTCCACCTGTGTTTCTGCTGCCCCTGTATTTGCTCCCTTGACTGCATTGAATCTGTCCTTCCGGGTCCTTCTGAGATGTGTCTGTTCCATGTAGCCTTCTTAGAACTCTCAGCCTGAATCCCCACATCCTTCCTTTGAAATTCCTCAGGCCTGTCTTTTGGTGCTCACTAATTTCTATTTGCTCATAGCTCTATTAAAAGTGGGTTGTACCACTTGTCTTGTGTGTGTGTGTGTGTGTGTGTGTGTGTGTGTGTGTGTGTCTTTAGTGCCTAGCTCATACATAACACAGGGCTGGCCTTCAGTCAGCATCATAAGACAGATGAATAGATGGATTATGGATGGATAAATGGGTGAATAGATGGATAGATTATGTATGAATGAGTGATGACAGGAAAAAGTGAATGAATGATGGATGGACAAATAGATGGATGAGTGGATTGTCACCCTTCTATTGCTGGATAGAGTGGGACTGCACTAGTATGACTTTCTGCCACTGTAACAAAAAAAATCTGACATAACTTGAAGAAAAGATGTATTTTGGTTCATGGTTTCAAAAGCTTTAGCCCATCATGGAGCAGAGTGTGTGGTGACGTAGAATAATTTACATTGTGGTGGCCAAGAAGCAGAGCGATAGGAAGAGGAAAAGAGAGGGGAGGGAAGGAAGGAGGGAAAGGGGGGATTCACATTCAGGTTTATTTTTCTTGGTTCCCCTTTGATTTCATTTGGGCCCCCCTTACGGGCAGTGCTGTCCTCACTCAGGGGTGGTCTCCCCCCTTAGATAATCCTCTCTGGAAATGACCCTCATAGACATGGAGATGTGCTTTAGGAATTTCCTAGGCCTTTTCAATCCATAATAATATGCATCAGCAGAACATATTCAATGGGATCCCTATTTCCTTGCAGGAGTAATGGCAAGAACAAAGATTACACCGACAGCATTGAAATGGCATTCATGGAAATGGCAGGTCCACAACGCCACTCTCTGCCAGGTGATCCTACAAATGGCTATGGTAAGTATGCATTAAGGTGGCATTACTGTGCCAGGAAGAAAGCAAAAGGCAGTGAATAAAGGCACGCCACAGCTGTGACATTGACTTCTCCCCTCAGATAGCCTCCTTACATATAGAAACTAGAACTCTGCGTGTAGGAAGCCAGGTGCCATTGCTGCAAATCAAAGAGGAAGAGGAGATGGGAGGGGAGGGGAGGGGAGGGGAGAGGAGAAGAGGGAGAGGGCAAAGATGGAAAGAAAGCTGTGAGGAGGAAGACAAGGAAGAGGGAGGGCAATTATGGAAAAGAAGGCCAGCTTCTAAAACCTTCGCTCAGGGTTCAAAAAAAGGAGCCACAAATAAGCAAAGGAACTAAAATGTGAGAGAAAAAAGAAGTTACTTACAACGTGATCCATGTCTTTTTTTATTCTTCCCTTCTTCTTCTTTTTCTTCTTCTTCTTCTTCTTCTTCTTCTTCTTCTTCTTCTTCTTCTTCTTCTTCTTCTTCTTCTTCTTCGTTTTTTTTCTTCTTCTTCTTTTTCTTCTCCTTCCCTAGTTCTTGGGGGTGCAGGTACTTATACCTTTGCAACAGTACTTCTTTTTGCAATACAATGTGAGGCTTGAATTTCTCAGGGTCAGCAAGGCAGATAAGATTTATGTTCACAGCAATGAACTAAAACTTCTAGGAGAAGCTTTTAGCACCAGTTGCTTAGGGCTGTGGGTCAAGGAGAGGGTCTAAGTTTAATTTGCACAAGAAACAAAACCTGGTACCTTCCAGTGCTCTGGCCTCAGTGGCAGCACAGGCCTTCAGGAAAGTTTACTTTTCCCTGAGGATGAGCAAATGGGCTGATTACCTTTGTCATTATCTTCTCAGGGGAAACAGCAGAGAGCAGTAAATCTCAGTGCTAAAATCTTGAGTTAATAAAACAAGAAGTTTGAGAATCTTCTAATGCAGGGTTAGTTTAGGTTATCATGTCTCTATCTGCCAGTGAGGTAGAATCAGGTCATGCTTATTTTTTTCTATCCATCTAGGCAGCTGTGAATCAACAACTTTGGGAGTGTAGTAATTCTCTCCTTGGATATTGGGAATGTCCTAGATGGAATGCTTTTTGCCTGGGCCCTAAACACTGGCCTGTCAATAAGGATAATCGATGGAAGGCAGATCTCTGCAATTACATAAGAGAGGGGAACAAGGACCTGATATCGGGAAACCGGTCTCACACATAGATAAGGGATGTAATCAGTATGGGAGAAATTGTGTCCAGTAAATGATCAGATAGTGTTGAACTGTGGGAAGTAAATCCCAAATTTTTTACCAAAAAGAATAAAGTATTAGAAGGATCTATAGCAATAAATAGTCACTTTTATTCATAAGACTATAGCGCCAAATACAACTTTTGTATTGGATTAATCCCCCAGAATAATTCCTAATTCTTATGGATTGTATTTGTGAAAAGAGGCTGATTAATTACTGTGTAATCTTGCAGCTTGTAGCAGGAAATGGAAGGAAGCAGAGAGGGACCAGCCAAGAGCAGTACAGGATGCTGGTACTATAAAGTGCAGGCAGAGGGTTAATAGGCTGGAGGGGTGCTGAGAATGGTTTTCAGGTCAGAGAGGAAGGGATGGGATGAGTCTCTCTGTGAATATATGCTCCTTGACTCATGCTCTGGGTGAAAATACCATAAGTCAAAATGCATCGAATCTACTATGGAACCTAGTAATTTAGCATCATGCTGCACTGAAAACTGCTAAGAGCTGCTTTCCTTGGTGATTTGTGTACTGTTGGAGAGCTAAAGTTCACTGGTGCTACTCAGCATCATGGGCCAGGATCACAGAGCTAATCTCTATAGAGGAAATTTTCAAATTTAACAGGGTTAGGTGGGACACTGGTAATCCCAGCACTCTAGAGATGGGGGCAAGAGGATCAGGAGTTCAAAGTCATTCTCAATAACATAGTGAATTTGAGGCCAGCCTGGGTTACAAGAGACCCTGTCTCAAAAATTAAAAAACAAATGTAAAAAGGGAAGGAAAAGAGAATATCACATAATGCTGATTATTGAACCCAGGGCCTCACACATCCTAGGAAAATATCCAAGTTCCTATATCACTGAGCACATTCCCAGCCTTTAAAGTAACAAATTTGAAAGCTGTGTGTGGTGGCTCACACCTTTGATTTCAGCACTCAAGGGGCAGAGGCAGTTGTATTTCTGTGAGTTTGAGGCCAGCCAAGTATACATATTTAATTCCACAACAGCCAGGAACTACATAGAGAGACCCCATCTCAAAAGACAATAAATAATAGTTTCTACTGATTACATATCACTTCCCTCAAGCATATAGCTGAACAAGTCAAGCTGTGATAACTGGGGCATCTGTACTGCTGAGAACATTGGCTGTTAGCCACTTGCAAAGGAACTTCTACTCCAGAGCCCAAACACTTACTGATCTGCCCAACAATATCACAAACATGTGCCTTGCATTCTCAACAGGGGCAATGGCAGTCCCAAGGAGGAAGGAAAGGGAATTGATAAGTGTGGGGGATGTTACTGTTTGGGTGTATTACGCACAGACACACAGAGAGCACACAGAGGCATGTATCAAACACAGCTGTGACATTGGAATTTCACAGGAAGGACAGTGAGGGAGGAAATATCTCTATTGCTTAAGGGGCAAACTGAAGCTCAGAAAGAAAGTGCCAGTGCAACTCAACTACTAATTTGACAGCCAAGATGAATACAGGTTGGCCCAGACCCTGACTCCCAGTCTACCATGAACTGCTGCTGGGAAGAATCAGGGCAAATATGGGTGGATGACTGATCATCCAGCTCTAGAGAACACTGGAAATTAAAATTCTTCAAAGACAAGTCAAGAGCTTGGGGGAAGGTTTGATGGGTAAATTGCTTGCTGTGCAACCACGAGGACCTGAGTTCAGATCCCCAGCATCCGGTTAAAAACCAGGCATGGTATTGATGAACCTCTATCAATGGGGGAGGGGCATGGGCAAATCCCTAGAGCTCCACAGCCAATCAGGCTAGCTGAATAGATGAGCTCCAAGCTCAGAGAGACCCTGTCTCAGAGAATAAGGTAGAGAAGTGTTTGAGGAAGACATCTGATGTCAACCTCTGAGCTTCACACACATTCATTCATACACACACAATTAAAATGAAAAAAAAAATGTCAACCATGGCTTCCTACTCTGGGCTCCTCTATAGGCCAAAGGTCCTGGCACCAACCAGATCCTTCCTAGTGTCCCTCCGTTGTGGTAAACTATTCACTTCTGAAGAATTCAGAATCATTTGTGTGTCCTCCAAGGTTCTCAGTGATTTTCCCAGTGTTATGGTGCATAACAAACAATAGATGTGGGAGAATGCTAATTGAATTAATAACAACTGAAACAAGTTTATCTGCTACCTTTTATGACAGGAATACTTCATAACAAATAAATACCCAAACACATAGGGTTGTTTATTTTTGTTGTTGTTGTTTTGTTTTGTTTTTGTTTTTTGGTAGTGCACTCCTTTATTTTTTTTTTTTTTATTTTTTTATTTT